TAATGGAACGTTTGTTCACAGCACAGAATTCTACAATTTTTCTCTTTAAATCACAGTGTAGAATTCTGTGGTTTAGGGTGAACGCAAAATTTGTTGACACGCGCACCGGGTGAGAATAGCCACAAGACCCGCCTGCACTATTCTCACCCCGGGTGAGAATAGACTAGAGGTGGCCATCAGTGTTGGGCGCGATCTGTCGATTTGCACGATCCATCGATCGCGCAGTGCATTTGGTTGATCGAGGAAACGCGTGACAATCCATCGATTGTTGCTCATTTTGTTGATCAGCGGATCGCGCATCGCTTTTTGTCGATTCGTTTGGTTGCCCATTCTAGGCTTGAGATTTTACTTCTTACCCCTGAGTTTTGTTAATAATAATGTTATGTTTTGTTGTCGTCCAGAGTGTTTTAGTTTCAGTTTCACTCTCCAAAGTCAAACTCGAACTGAAACTGAATGGAAGTAACTGGAAGTCAGGGTTACAATAACGAACTAATCGAAGTGACTAGACTAGATATCGGGCTCGAGTCCGAAAAGACAAAAATTATACGAAGTGACTATTTCTTCGAATGTTCAGAGAACTTTGTGGCTGTTCTCATCCGGGGTGAGAATAGAAAAACGATCTACCTCTCACCCCGGGTGAGAATTGCCAGCGTAGGCTATTCTCACCCGGTGCGAAACAAGACCTGCTTTTCCTCATTTTGGAATACTGTCTATCGGTGTGGATGATCAAATTGATAAAAGCCAAGAAAAAATTACGTTATAGCACAAAAGTAAGCTAATTTGATCGTCTTCAAAGATGCTATGGCTATTTCACTTTTCGAATCGAGCCGAACTACGCGGGTCGCCATTTTGTTTTGCCCGGAAGTTCTCGCAAGATCTACTCCTCCCCTCTCTCTCTCTCTCTCTCTGTCTCTTTCTGAATACTGTCTATCCGGTGTGGACGATCAAATTGACCAAAACAAAGTTAAAAAATGATGTTAAAACACAAAAGTAAATTAATTTGGTTGTCTACAAAGATGCTACAATTTAACTTTTCGAATCGAGCCGAACTACGCGGGTTGCCATTTTGTTTTCGCAGTGGCTATTTTTACGGCGAGCCGTAAAGATAGCCTCCCAGGCTATTTTTTCGGCGTGCCGTAAAGATAGCCTCCCAGTGAGTCCCAGGCTATTTTTACGGCCATCCTCGAAAAGCGACCCTACTCCGCCTCTCGTGTACGCGACATGCCTCAATGTATTAGATCTAGGCCTATAGTAGGAGCCGTTCAAAATATAAACTTACACCTCAGAGGGGAAAGGGTGTCTTTAGCTTCTGTAAGAAAAGTGTAGGATTGGGTGGGGGGGTTAACCAAATATGACACTTCTGTGAGATAAAAGAAAAGGTAAAAGAAAAAGTGGATAAATGCCAGTGACAAGACCCAGATCTGCATGATGACTGCAGATCCCCGTTGTTGTTGTTTTTGTTTTGTTTTTTAGAGGAAAGGGGGGGGGGGGGGGAGTGGTTGCAAATAATTTTGAAATTATGATGAAAATTCTGTCGGTGGATATCTAATTTCTTAATGTTTCTTTGTAGCTTTGCAACTGTTTTGTTGATCTTTTAATGTCTTGATGTCTTTTATTTGTAAGGCATGTACCTATTGCATTGACAAGAGTCTCAATGTCTTCCATATTTATGCGTTTCTTTCTAGTTCATATGGTTTGATTAAATTGTATTAACTGAAATGGTTTTTTTTTTTACAAGCTGGTTAAAAAACGCCACGTATAGTAGGCCTACAGGTATGTTTAAAATAATAATGGAAGTTGAAGATCGGAAAAAGTACTAATTAAATTGGTGTGGATGAGGGTTGGAGGCAAGTGTGAGAAAAAAGGTATTTGGGTTTTGTGTTTTAAAAACGTCCCCAAAAGTGTAAGATTATATTTGAACAGCCTCATAGGTTTTCCATTTCCTCCTCTTCACCATCATCATTCTATTCTCTTCTTTATCTTCCTTCTCCCTTCCTCCACCACCACCTTTTCCTTCTTCTCCCCACCATCATCATTCACCCTCTCTTTATCATCACCACCACCATCACCTCCTCGTCATTATCATTACCATCCCCACTGCCACTGCCAGCATCATCATTTCATTCACAGACATCACTACATTATGTACCACACCCACAAGAAGAGCGGCCATTTTGGAGTTAACACTTTTCGCCTTGGGTATGCCTATATAAAATGTTCCTCCTTCCTTTGCACTGATGAGCAGATTTTTGATAGAGGTGTAAAATATTTTTTTGTTGTTCACGGTGATTAATTTATTAATTATTGTGATGCAATTTCAGGGTACAGGAACGCATATATATATATATTTTTTTCATTTAAATATCAAAATTTTGCTCAGTACGATTGACCATAGTATCTGTATCTACCATTCCATGAATTTTCATGCAATTTTGTTAGATGGTAGAAGCCTTCGGTTT